AGGTTTTAGATGTCCCAATACCTTGGCTTCGGGTCTATGAACTGATATATAAAACAATTGACACAACAATCCGTTCATTTCAATTTAAGCTATAATATAAAATAATTACTACAAAAATAATGCTCAATATACAGTGCATTCGGAAAGTATTCAGACCCCTTCCCTTTTTCCACATTTTGTTACGTTACAGCCTTATTCTAAAATGGATTTAATTAACATTTTCCTCATCAATCTACACAGTGAAAACAGATTGCTAATTTGTTAATTTATTAAGAATAAAAAACTGAAATACCTTATTTACATAAGTATTCAGACCCTTTGCTATGAGACTCGAAATTGAGCTCTGGTGCATCCTGTTTCCATTGATCATCCTTGAAATGTTTCTACAACTTGATTGGAGTCCACCTGTGGTAAATTAAATTGATTGGACATGATTTGGAAAGGCACACACCTGTCTATATAAGGTCCCACAGTTGACAGTGCATGTCAGAGCAAAACCCAAGCCATGAGGTAGAAGGAATTGTCCGTAGAGCTCCGAGACAGAATTGTGTTGAGGCACAGATCTGGGGAAGGGTACCAACAAATTTCTGCAGCATTGAAGGTCCCCAAAATCATAGTGGCCTCCATCATTCTTAAATGGAAGAAGTTTGGAACCACCAAGACTCTTCCTAGAGCTGGCCGCCTGCCCAAACTGAGCAATCGGGTGAGACCAAGAACCTGATGGTCACTCTGACAGAGCTCCAGAGTTTGTCTGTGGTGATGGGAGAACCTTCCAGAAGGACAACCATCTCTGCAGCACTCCACCAATCAGGCCTTTATGGTAGAGTGGCCAGACGGAAGCCACTCCTCAGTAAAAGGCACATGACAGCCCGCTTGGAGTTAGCCAAAAGGCACCTAAAGGACTCTCAGACCATGAGAAACAAGATTCTCTGGTCTGATGAAACCAAGATTGAACTCTTAGGCCTGAATGCCAAGCATCACATCTGGAGGAAACCTGGCACCATCCCTACGGTGAAGCATGGTGGTGGCAGCATCATACTGTGGGGATGTTTTTCAACGGCAGGGAGACTAGTCAGGATTGAGGCAAAGCTGAACGGAGCAAAGTACAGTGAGATCCTTGATGAAAACCTGCTCCATTTGCAAACAAATTCAAAAAACATGTTTTTGCTTTGTCATTATGGGGTATTGTGTGTAGACTCAATTTTAGAATAAGGCTTTAACGTAACAACATTTGGAAAAACTCAAGGGGTCTGAATACTTTCCGAATGCACTGTAGTCTACCTATTTCATTATCAAAATAACTCGGTCACTTGTGTCATGGCTTAATCGACTCCATGTAAACCAAATCTATTAATAACCTATGAAAGAATATGCCGCTTGAGTGTTGTAAAAATCATTACTGATCAATGATCACTTGTAATGATCATTTATCTCAGCAGGGTTGTTGTGAGAAGCTCTGTCGCTCTGAGTAACAAGACTGCATCAGAGATAAAGTGAAATAACTTTCACTGGCAGTTACAATCAAAGAGGATATGACTGAGATTGCAGAGGCAGTCAGGCCGATGATGGCTCGCCAAATGCAACATTCCACAGGTGTGGATGGTCAGTCCTTGCATCCATTGCGCTGTCTATGAATTGGAAAGTGGATACATTTCTCCACCCCCTCAGCTGTTTACCAAAAAGTGGTGGGGTAACCGCTTTGTTGTTGTTTGAATCCCAGATTGACCCTTTAATGGACAGATATATTTTCTGAAAACACCTCATTGGACAGAATAAGGGGCACACAGTCCCACGCCCAGAAGCAGAAGCTCAATTAACATTTTATAATCACTACATCCTCACTTTTGTAACTGCAGTTGTGCAGTCATTTTGTTGTTCAACTGCAGTTCAACTGTAGTTATTTTGCAGTTACAGTGCAGTACATACTGCAATTACTGCGTCCAAATTAACACTGTTTATTTTAGTAAAAGTAGGTATCCAGGTAACGAGTATTGCCTGTGTCAATGTTTTTTTAAGAGTTACCTACATATTTGTTTGTTTTGATCAATCTCCTTACGTTAGTGAGAGGAAACCATTTTTCACTGCTCTTTGCGGACACTGCTTTGCCTCATTGAAAACACCTCACATTCCTGCACATGATGAATGACTGTCCATCCACACCTGTAGCAGGCAATCAGCAGACACTGTCCACTGATCTGCTCGAGCCTACCTGGCCAAGAGGGTTATGTCATCTCAGGTCTATGGTGTACATAAAACCAAATGCCTAGTTATCTTTGCTGTCTATGGTGATGTGTTTGGTAATGGGAGCCAGTTCGTATAGTGATGTACTACTGTATAAAGAAGCTGGTCTGTAGGGAAACGTCCAATAAAGAGGGGCCTATAGAGTCCTTTCTGATGGGTGGAGATGTGACAAGCTGCCAGCTCATGTGGTGTTTGTGGTTGAGTCACTTCACAGTGGGTCGCGGGCCCCTCTCGCCCCCATCCCTGGCCTCAACCCCATTCTCTCACAACCTCGTTTGAGCCATTAGGGCCATAGCAGAAGACGCCCCATGTTTCAACCCCCCCCCATCCCTTCATTCCTCTGCCCTCTACTACAACTCCATCCCATCACCCCCTCTGTGTCTCATAGACAACCTGTCATGACACGTTGGCTGAGGGTTAACTGCACTGCGTCACAGTGTTTAGGGTGTGTTATGAAAAGCCCTCTCTAACGATGCCATGATTACATGTCTGTCCATCAGCCAGTGCTGTAGCAAATCCACAACTCTGAGAAGACAAGGGGCCAGGGATTTGAAGGGGTTAACTGCCTTTGTAATAGTGATTGAACTGAAGTGATTCATCAGGATACTCTGTCTCACATTGATAAAGCTCAAGGGAGTCGAATGAATATGTATCTTTGTCATGTATCTTTTGTTGTATCTGTATCATTTTCAATTCTTCCCAGATAATGTAATATTTGATTGTGTTAAGCCATGCCCTTTTCACTGGCAAGGAAACCATTTTTGGGGGGCTGGTATGGGTCTTCTGTCTGGATTTTCTGCCAGGTTACCTATTGTACAGAGGCAGACGAGTGTTGGGTTTTCCCTAATCTGGTAAATAACACCTGTAGGAAATACAAGGATTACAACTGACTTGAAACAGACAAATTAGGCAATGTAATACTCAACAGTGCTGTACTGCAGGAAAGCTGAACACTGCATGTGTAGTGATATCATCGCTCAATGTTATGTTAGAATTTAAATGGGTCTATTGATTACATGGTCATTCATGTGGTCATTCTTCCAAACACCTTTGTTTTGATTCTCCGACAGAGAGCCAAACATGATCAATGTGTGTTGAAAATGCCTATACCACATGTGATTTCTGAGAAATACCAATGCTGTAGCTAGAATGTGATGGGTGTGTTGCATGGAGGAAGGGGAAGGGTATAGGAGAGAAACTGAGTGTCTTTTTCTGTCACACACACACACACACACACACACACACACACACACACACACACACACACACACACACACACACACACACACACACACACACACACACACACACACACACACACACACACACACACACACACACACACACACACACACACACACACACACACACACACACACACACACACACACACACACACACACACACCACACACACACACACACACACACACACACACACACACACACACACACACACACACACACACACACACACACACACACACACACACACACACACACACACACACACACACACACACACACACACACACACACACACACACACACACACACACACACACACACACACACACACACAGAGCTATGGTTATCAGGAGGACCCTGATGTAATGAGATCTTGATCCAGAGTAATATAGGGTGTGGATATATGAGAGGCGTGTGTGAGGGATTCATAATTGTGTCCCAAGATTTGGCATGGTGGAATGTCCCCAACAATGGCTAGACTAAATCTTCTTCAGTCCGCTGGATATAATGGGTATGATATATTAACTTTATGCTTATATCTCTTTCAAATGTACAGGTGTTTACTATTATTCTTTTTTAGACTGATGCCAAAGTGACGGTATTAAAAATGGGTAAGTTCAGGTAGAGGATTATTACAGGATATGACATTACTGCAGTAACATGCATGGCACATAGACATTTGGATAACAGCTTTATTTTGTGACAATCTCTCAGCACGTGTCAGAGACAGGGGTGTGCTTTGCAACAGGTGCTTTACATTAGCATGGACTTGGTCACAGTGACCCCGCTGATCATGACAATTCATAACATGGCTGCTCTGGTTCTATCTCCCCATGGCTGTCCCTATCTGAAACTGTCTAGGCCCTGTGTCACTATGTCACCTCCGTGAACTGTCATCCCTGTGACTATCTGTTATATTGTCATTCAGTCATCACAATGAGTGATACGGTAAACAAAAGACAGATGGTATTCAATCGGTGTGAGACATTGGTTGAATATTTCAGTCATTTTGCCAGTAGACGCCTCTTGCCGGTCGAATTAACCGCACCACAATCTAAGTTGCTTCAACTGCTGTGTTTCAAGATGAGGTGTGTGTGTTATTCTTAAGAACTTTACACATTATTTAACAACTCAAACAAGTAATATCAGCAGGTAGTTAAACAACCAACATCTATGTAACATTACATATAATTCATTTTTCCCCCAGAATTCATAAAAACATTTCCTGAAAATGTCCAATTGTTATTTTTGTTGTTTTTTGTTGCCAATCCTGGATAACTAACCACCATACAAAATGTATGGCTACAGTACGGTTCTCGATAACACCTTTTTTGGATAGTCCATCTGTAGATGCTTTACAGACTATCAGTAACATTTCAACTACTACTAACCCTAACCCTAGCTGTAACCCTAACCTTAACTGTTATCATATCCCTAAACTTAGACCTTACCCTAACCTTAACCCTTATTCTAAACCTAAACCTAACCGTAACCATAGCAAGCAGTTACTTATCAACAGATAGTTTGTTGATAGTAATCCGAACTATCCAAATAAAGTCTGACCTGGTTCTCTAATTGCGCTAACAGCTAACCTAGGCTAGCAGGTTCAAGCTAGCTACCTCTAATCAAAATCGTACGCTAGCTAGCAAATGTTGTACTTCACTGCTCACTAGCCTCTTCTGAGTATCTTACAGTGTTGATAATTGGTAGTAGGGATTTATTCGTAATCGTCGCCACAAAACTAGTACAATGCCAAACTGATATGACATAGAACTTTCATCGCTGGCTAATCCCTGGCTAAGTATAACTGCTGGCTTAAATTTTACTGCTGGCTTGGCAAATGTGAAAATGGCTCAGATGGAACTGTATGTCCTCCAACAACCCCTTAACAGCTTTCCTCTTTATTGTCCTCCCTATCCCTTATGCTACTGATCCAATCCCCATAATCAATATAACTACTCATCAGTGTCCTGGAAAAATCGTGTATAAAAAAAAATAAGTTCACTTTTCAGGAATCTAAAACAACGTTGTTGTTGCCATATATTAATGGAAATTCAAAAGGCTTTTTGAATTACTTATATTAGTCCTAGTTTCATTACACTTTCACAGAACATGGAAGGGATTGTTCTGTGAAACTTTCAATTTATGTTTAAAAAAGTGAGATACAGGGTTTTTCTAGGACGCCGACGTACGGCAGAATTCGCTTCACCCTCATGCAACACACTCCTTCCTCCTCCTCAAGCTCAGTGATCACCATCCCTAGTCCTGGACACCTATAGGGTGTGGAGATTTTTGTTCCAACCCTACACTCACACACCTTGTTCAACGACTCAACTGATCATTGACCCCTTGAGTAGCTTGACGTGTTAGTAAGGTCAAGAACAAAAAGCTGATCACTTGGGCTGTTCCCTGAGGGCCCCTGTGTCTGTGGCTTTCCAGATGTGGAGGGCTGTCCCGGCCGAGAGGACCAGGAAAAGGAGGAAGGCGGTGGGGAAGCCCACCCAGTCCACCAGGCCCCCCGCCAGGGCACTGAACATCAGCTTCCCCAGCACCTCCAGAGTGGACAGGAAACTGTAGTGGGTGGCCTGTAGGGAGAAGAGGAGAGGGTTAGGTAAAGGTGAGCTCAGAGATAAAAAAATAAAATAAACAACAGGACATGAGAGAGAGAATGTAGAGAGCGAGGCCACACCACACCAACACAGATTACCTAACATCCCAGACTCCACCTCTCATGCCCATAGCAACACAACAAGGCAACATAGCCAACGCATCTCCGTAGGTCTCCACCCTCCACTGACACCTAAATGTTCACACGATGGCAACCCTATTCCATACACTCAGGTGTATACACCACCAGACATAAAGACTTCAAGTGTGTTAAACCACTGAACACCTCTACAAATGAAACCATGTAAACTGCTAACCGCTTAACTGAACAGATTTATTTCAGCACAAACCACTAAGACATCCGCTGTGGCATGCATAGTTATCAGTACAGCTCTGGCTATGCCTAAATCCACATGATCAAAGTGAGATGGATCTTAATCAGTAAGGGGAGGGATGGGCAGAAGTAGGTTGCCGGGGGAAAACATCATTGAATGATTATGGTGAGCAGATGACTTCGATTATTAGAACTTTGGGCGGTGAAAAGGCGACAAGGCCTTTGTTCGTTGTACCTTTTACACCGTGTAACATAGCTCCCGTGTGGCTAAGAGTAACTTAGCCAGTTACCTAACTCAGACAAATGTCACCGGCCATAAAATGAGCAAGCTGTAAAGGAGACATTACCCAGGCATCTTTGCTGGGTCTCAGTATTGAGTACAGTGCTGGGTTGAGCCAGATTCACACAGTCGGAGTGCCTGTAGACCCGAGTTAAGTGAAGTGCTTTTATTCGGGCTAACTTGCTTAAGAGATTCCGTTTCTCTCTCCTGGGCCATCGACAAGCACTCACTCACGGTATCAGCTTTCCGTCACTGGATATGACCTTAAAAGGGTAGCTATATGTGTCACTGTCATGAGAACATTTCAAATTAACCCCAGAGGTTATTAGCTTTGTTTCATTAGGTTTTTCTTCCTTAATTGCCCAGATACAGCTTTGTATCCTCCTTAGTGTAGTTTTCCTAGTCAACGACTCCTAGGTAGAACCGCGGCAACTCGTCACCTTCAAAATTGATTGAGTGACATTTGAGAGGCTGCGAACAGAACACCTCCAGGCGGCGATGCCCCAGTTTAAAAGGGCCAAAATAAGTTATGTCAAAAAAGAGGGGGAGAGAGCGAGAGGGAAATATAGATATGTAAAAGGAGACAGAGAGAGAAAGGGAGAGAGCTAGGAGAAGAAAAGGGGCTCGTCAGTCCCAGCTGACCGGTGGGTGTTGTTGCTGTGAGGAGGGCTACCTGTCCTGCCTGTTGACATCATAGGATATAATCTAACTCCATTCCAGAGGCCGCTGGGTTTCCAGAGAATCTCGTCTTCTTAGATAAAAATCCTCTCCTCCAAGTGGAGGTAAAAAGCTGAGTGCCTCACTCCGTAAATGTGTGCATATCCTCAAAGAGTGGGCCACAGGCAAAAGTGTAAACAATTTAGCAAATGCATGACATTTGCACATGCAAATAGCACTTGATTTCTATGACACATTTCAAGGAATTACTTTATCTTTTAAAACGTGATTTGAAGTTGAACATAATTTGTTTGGAAATTGTCAGATGACGACAAAAATTGAGTTCTAGATTCTTTGTTTTTTTGGTAAAGATAATGTACTGATGATGTTAGACATTTGTACTTATCTCAGTCATATTCACCAAAATCAAGGGATATATGTGATTATTTAAAATTATTCATGTGTTTCTCACATGAAGGACCTGACTTGGCCATGGGAAATTATATTCTAGGTTGACAGGTGTGTAGAGGTTGACTCTTACCTGTACACTCTCCTCCGCTCTCTGTGTGCAGTGCATCATGGTCGTGAAGGTGAGCGTGGTGATGAGGCCGCCCAGGAAGTGCTGAATGCTCAAACTCAACACGGCCATACCTGAGGGGCAAACACAATAACAGCCATGACACTGTCTCAAACTCAACCCAATGTTGCCAGACATTATGGGTGCTTATATTTGTCCTGTTTCACACGTGTGAATTGGACATGTGTTTTTTACATATCCCACCCTCCCTGAGACAGTTCGAGAGAGGGGTCAAGGCCAGTGTCTGCCATTACCAACAGCGACCCTGGAACAATTAGAGGTTAAGTGCGTTGCTCAAGGGCACATCGACAGATCTTTCACCTTATCGGCTCGGGTATTCGAACTAGTGAACTTTCGGTTACTGGCCCAATGCTCTAACCGCTAGGCTACCTGCTGTGTTCTGTCCTAAAGTGGTGTTATCTAAATCTGCCTCTTTCGTTTCACTCAGAGTTCCTACTGGATGGATGGTGTGAGAAGGAGAGCTCAGTGGCGCAGCGTATATCAGTGGAGCCTGATCTGTCGCTGAACCGAGACAACAAAGGTGGAAGTAAGGGGGTGCTGTCTCCTCGCGTTCCCCCAAACAAGTTGTTCCCTCTCAGGAGACAGCAGAACACAGGCGACACAGAGCGTCTCTCAGCTCCCACTGACACTGAATTATTCACCGGAGATGTCGAGTTTTGCAGAATAAGACTTCTCCATTTCACAGGATTCAGAGAGCGAGACACTAACTCAGCTTATCAGAGTGAGAAAAGGGGGCACTCATGTAATATTGAGAATTTTACAGCAACATTTTTTGGGATCTTTGACATCATTGTTCCTGCTCTAAGAGGGGGGGGGGGGCTCCACTTCCAGCGGTTTCCAGAGTGAACAGCTCAACAAAGGTTCAAACAGGTCACTGAGAGAGCTTCTATTCTGCTTTCAGATTTCCTTCACTTTAGTCATGAGATTAAAATGGGATGTTTGTGAGATGCTCAAAGCGCTGTAAACTGACCTCTTCACGCACCTCTTCTTCCACCACATACAGTGCCTTCAGAAAGTATTCACACCCCTTGACTTTTTCCACATTTTAATTGATTTAAATTTAGATTTTGTGTCACTGGCTTACACACAATACCCAATAATGTCATAGTGGAATTATGTTTTTAGAAATGTTAACAAATTAATTAAAAATTAAAAGCTGAAATGTCTTGAGTCAATAAGTTTTCAACCCCTTTGTTATGGCAAGCCTAAATAAGTTCAGGAGTAAAAATGTGCTCAACAAGTCACATAATAAGTTGCATGGACTCCCTCTGTATGCAATAATAGTGCTTAACATGATTTTTTAATGGCTACCTCATCTCTGTACCCCACACATACAATTATCTGTAAGGTCCCTCAGTCGAGCAGTGAATTTCAAACACAGATTCAACATCAAAGACTAGGGAGGTTTTCCAATGCCTCACAAAGAAGGGCACCTATTGGTAGAAAAAAAGCCGACATTGGATATCGCTTTGAGCATGGTGAAGTTATTCATTACACTTTGGATGGTGTATCAATACACCCAGTCACTACAAAGATACAGGCGTCCTTCTTAACTCAGTTGCTGGAGAGGAAGGAAACTGCTCAGGGATTTCACCATGGAGGCCAATGGTGACTTTAAAACAGTTACAGAGTTTAATGGCTGTGATAGGAGAAAACTGAGGATGGATCAACAACATTGTAGTTACTCCACAATACTAACCTAAATGACAGAAGGAATAAAAATATTTCAAAACATGTATCCTGTTTGCAATAAGACACTAAAGTAAAACTGCAAAGAAAATTGGCAAAGTAATGAACTTTAAGTCCTGAATACAAAGTGATATGTTTGTGGCATATCCAACAACACATCACTGAGTACCACTCTTCATATTTTCAAGCATGGTGGTGGCTGCATCATGTTATGGGTATGCTTGTCATCGGCCTGGACTATAGTTTTTTTTAGGATACAACAGCCTAGAGGAAAATGTGGTTCAGTCTGCTTTCCAACAGACACTGGGAGACAAATTCACCTTTCAGCAGGACAATAGCCTAAAACACAAGGCCAAACATACACTGGAGTTGCTTACCAAGATGACATTGAATGTTGCTGAGTGGCCTAGTTAAAGGTTTGACTTAAATCGGCTTAAACATCTATGGCAAGACTTGAAAATTGCTGTCTAGAAATGATCAACAACCAACTTGACACAGCTTGAAGAATTTTAAAAAGAATATTGTGCAAATATTGTACAATCCAAGTGTGCAAAGCTTTTAGAGACTTACCCAGAAAGACTCACTGCTGTAATCACTGCCAAAGGTGATTCAAACATGTATTGACTCATGGGTGTGAATACTTATGTAAATAAGATATTTCTGTATTTCATTTTCAATAAATGTGCAAAGATTTCTAAAAACATGTTTTTGCTTTGTCATTATGGGGTATTGTGTGTAGATGGGTGAGAAAAATAATACTGAATCCATTTTGAATTCAGGCTGTAACACAACTAAATGTGAAATAAGTCAAGGGGTATGAATACTTTCTGAAAGCACTGTATGTGTGTTGTATGTATAGGCCTTATGTACCAGGTCTCTACTAAATAGATTCCTATCTCAACGAGACTAACCTGGTTAAATAAATAAAGAAGGCCTAAATGTAGATGGTTACACATGACAAAATGTTTTATGTATAGGCCTAAATGTGGATGGTTACACATGACAAAATGTTTTATGTATAGGCCTAAATGTGGATGGTTACACATGACAAAATGTTTTATGTATAGGCCTAAATGTGGATGGTTACACATGACAACATGTTTTATGTATAGGCCTAAATGTGGATGGTTACACATGACAAAATGTTTTATGTATAGGCCTAAATGTGGATGGTTACACATGACAACATGTTTTATGTATAGGCCTAAATGTGGATGGTTACACATGACAACATGTTTTATGTATAGGCCTAAATGTGGATGGTTACACATGACAACATGTTTTATGTATAGGTCTAAATGTGGATGGTTACACATGACAACATGTTTTATGTATAGGCCTAAATGTGGATGGTTACACATGACAACATGTTTTATGTATAGGCCTAAATGTGGATGGTTACACATGACAACATGTTTTATGTATAGGTCTAAATGTGGATGGTTACACATGACAACATGTTTCCACATTATGTTACGTTTCCCCCATCAATCTACACACAATACCCCATAATGACAAAGCAAAAACAGGTTTTTTTTTTAAAGAATTTTGCTAATTTGAAATAACACATTTACATAAGTATTCAGACCCTTTACTCAGTAATTTGTTGAACCACCTTTGGCAGCGATTACAGCATAGAGTCTTCTTGGGTATGACGCTACAACCTTGGCACACCTGTATTTGGGAAGGTTCTCCCATCTCTGCAGAGGAGCTCTAGAGCTCTGTCAGAGTGACCATCGGGTTCTTGGTCACCTCCCTGACCAAGGCCGTTCTCCACCGATTGCTCAGTTTGGCTGGGCGGCTAGCTCTAGGATGAGTCTTGGTGGTTCCAAACTTCTTCCATTTAAGAATGATGGAGGCCACTGTGTTCTTTTGGACCTTCAATGCAGCAGACATTTGTTGGTACCATTCCCCAGATCTGTGCCTCGACACAATCCTGTCTCGGAGCTCTACAGACAATTCCTTCGACCTCATGGCTTGGTTTTTGCTCTGACATGCACTGTCAGCTGTGGGACCTTATATAGACAGGTGTGTGACTTTCCAAATCATGTCCAATCAATTGAATTTACCACAGGTGTACTCCAATCAAGTTGTAGAAACATCTCAAGGATGATCAATGGGAACAGGATGCACCTGAGCTCAATTTCGAGTCTCATAGCAAAGGGTCAGAATACTTATGTAAATAAGGTATTTCAGTTTTTAATTTGTTAGAAATTTGCAAAAATGTTCACTTTGTCATTATGGGGTATTGTGTGTAGATTGCTGAGGAAAATATTTTATTTAATCAATTTTAGAATAAGGCTGTAACGTAACAAAATGTGGAAAAAGTCAAGGGGTCTTAATACTTTCCGAAGGCACTGCATAGGCCTAAATGTGGATGGGTTCACATGACAAAATGTTTTATGTATAAGCCTAAATGTGAATGGGTTACACATGACACAACAACGTGTTATTTGTTTTGCCATGGGGTCAGGGGGTTAGAGTACGGTGGGTTAGAGTGTGGCCGTTGTAGATGCATGCGATGGGTATCCGGTAAAGTCCATCATGTGTTGCTTTCATGTACCAAAGCGGATGGATCTGCGAGCCCAGTGGGTTTGTTCATTATAGTCATGGTTACCTGTGTGAGTCAGTGAGGTCACATGGAGGTGCCTGCCTTCATTCATCAGAGTCACACTGTCACCTGCCACCTGCTCCCATTTTGTGCAAGGTGAAAGAAAGAAAGATATCGAGCTACGGATGGACAAACAGATGTGGCTTGTGGGGGACTAGAGACGCATACAGGTCTAGATCAGTGGAAAAGGACAGGCTGGTTAGAGTAAATGATGTATGTCCATTGTTAGAGTGTGTGTGAACTGATGATATTGACCACGTTTACAGTGAGGGAAAAAAGTATTTGATCCCCTGCTGATGTTGTACGTTTGGCCACTGACAAAGAAATTATCAGTCTATAATTTTAATGGTAGGTTTATTTGAACAGTGAGAGACAGAATAACAACAAAAAAATCCAGGAAAACGCATGTCAAAAATGTTATAAATTGTTTGCATTTTAATGAGGGAAATAAGTATTTGACCCCCTCTCAATCAGAAAGATTTCTGGCTCCCAGGTGTCTTTTATACAGGTAACGAGCTGAGATTAGGTGCTCCTAATCTCAGCTTGTTACCTGTATAAAAGACACCTGTCCACAGAAGCAATCAATCATTACATTTACATTTACGTCATTTAGCAGACGCTCTTATCCAGAGCGACTTACAAATAGGTGCATTCATCTTATAGCCAGTGGGATAACCACTTTACAATGTTTATTTTTATATTTTTTTATATTTTTTTTTGGGGGGGGGGGGGTGGGTTGGGGTAGAAAGATTACTTTATCCTATCCCAGGTATTCCTTAAAGAGGTGGGGTTTCAAATGTCTCCGGAAGGTGGTGAGTGACTCCGCTGTCCTGGCGTCGTGAGGGAGCTTGTTCCACCATTGGGGTGCCAGAGCAGCGAACAGTTTTGACTGGGCTGAGCGGGAACTATGCTTCCGCAGAGGTAGGGGAGCCAGCAGGCCAGAGGTGGATAAACGCAATGCCCTCGTTTGGGTGTAGGGACTGATCAGAGCCTGAAGGTACGGAGGTGCCGTTCCCCTCACAGCTCCGTAGGCAAGCACCATGGTCTTGTAGCAGATGCGAGCTTCAACTGGAAGCCAGTGGAGTGTGCGGAGGAGCGGGGTGACGTGAGAGAACTTGGGAAGGTTGAACACCAGACGGGCTGCGGCATTCTGGATGAGTTGTAGGGGTTTAATGGCACAGGCAGGGAGCCCAGCCAACAGCGAGTAGCAGTAATCCAGACGGGAGATGACAAGTGCCTGGATTAGGACCTGAGCCTCTTCCTGTGTAAGGCAGGGTCGTACTCTCCGAATGTTGTAGAGCATGAACCTACAGGATCGGGTCACCGCCTTGATGTTAGCGGAGAACGACAGGGTGTTGTCCAGGGTCACGCCAAGGCTCTTCGCACTCTGGGAGGAGGACACAACGGAGTTGTCAACCGTGATGGCGAGATCATGGAACAGGCAGTCCTTCCCCGGGAGGAAGAGCAGCTCCGTCTTGCCAAGGTTCAGCTTGAGGTTCAGATTCCAAACTCTCCACCATGGCCAAGACCAAAGAGCTCTCCAAGGATGTCAGGGACAAGATTGTAGACCTACACAAGGCTGGAATGGGCTACAAGACCATCGCCAAGCAGCTTGGTGAGAAGGTGACAACAGTTGCTGCGATTATACGCAAATGGAAGAAACACAAAGGAACAGTCAATCTCCCTCGACCTGGGGCTCCATGCAAGATCTCACCTCGTGGAGCTGCAATGATCATGAGAACGGTGAGGAATCAGCCCAGAACTACACGGGAGGATCTTGTCAATGATCTCAAGGCAGCTGGGACCATAGTCACCAAGAAAACAATTGGTAACACACTATGCCGTGAAGGACTGAAATCCTGCAGCGCCCGCAAGGTCCCCCTGCTCAAGAAAGCACATATACAGGGCCGTCTGAAGTTTGCCAATGAACATCTGAATGATTCAGAGGAGAACTGGGTGAAAGTGTTGTGGTCAGATGAGACCAAAATCGAGCGCTTTGGCATCAACTCAACTCGCCGTGTTTGGAGGAATGCTGCATATGACCCCAAAAACACCATCCCCACCGTCAAAAATGGAGGTGGAAACATTAGGCTTTGGGGGTGTTTTTCTGCTAAGGGGACAGGACAACTTCACCGCATCAAAGGGACGATGGACAGGGCCATGTACCGTCAAATCTTGGGTGGGAACCTCCTTCCCTCAGCCAGGGCATTGAAAATGGGTCGTGGATGGGTATTCCAGCATGACAATGACCCAAAACACACGGCCAAGGCAACAAAGGAGTGGCTCAAGAAGAAGCACATTAAGGTCCTGGAGTGGCCTAGCCAGTCTCCAGACCTTTTAATCCCATAGAAAATCTGTGGAGAGAGCTGAAGGTTCGAGTTGCTAAACGTCAGTCTCGAAACCTTAATGACTTGGAGAAGATCTGCAAAGAGGAGTGGAACAAAATCCCTCCTGAGCTGTGTGCAAACCTGGTGGCCAACTACAAAAACGTCTGACCTCTGTGATTGCCAACAAGGTTTTTGCCACCAAGTACTAAGTCATGTTTTGCAGAGGGGTCAAATACTTATTTCCCTCATTAAAATGCAAATCAATTTATAACATTTTTGACATGCGTTTTTCTGGATTTTTGTTTTGTTATTCTGTCTCTCACTGTTCAAATAAACCTACCATTAAAATTATAGACTGATCATGTCTTTGTCAGTGGGCAAACGTACAAAATCAGCAGGGGATCAAATACTTTTTTCCCTCACTGTACCTGCACACCAATATCCCGTTATTACTACTCAAGTGTTCTATTTTTGAGTTGATGCATATAAACATCATATCCCGTTTACAATAACCAGAAAAAGCTTGTATCTCGGTTATAAGAAACCCAGATAAGATGCCTGGGATATGCTGATCTAAGATGGGATACTGTGGCATGTAAACATCTTATCCCGTTTACTGTTGTTTTTCACGGTCCGCGTAGGCAGGCTCAGTTGCACATATCATGGGTGTTGTGCAGTCTATGGTGTTGTGTGATGATATTTTCATCTGATTATCAAACAAATCACTTAAAAAAGTAGGCTACCTGCACAGTTCGATCCACCATAATAATTCCATAATAATTTTGCCTACTATAATTAATTTACTATAATTTAAGATTCTGCTTATAATTTCCGACATTTGGTAGGTCATTTGTTTGTTAACTGTAGTTTGATAGACTACATAAGCTTCTCTTCTGTCATAACTTGTTGCCCCAGAAGACTAAATAAAGTAGTGCTCACCAGAATAATGTCTTACATCAATAGAATGAATGCATTAATCTAGTTAACCCCAGAAAAGTTGTCTGTTTCGTTTAGGAACCGGGAAGAAAACGCAATAACTCCAAAACAGTGGAAAGATTGGTCCTGTGCAAAATGTCCAAATGCCATCAGTTTGACTGGTTTTAAGGAAAGGAAAAGCTGAGAAAACGACGAAACAAGTTTCTGATAAGACTTCAGTTCGTCTTGGCTGCATATTTTATGTGGTTGAAATACTGTCTGCTTGCATAACAGTGTCAAAGATAACACATTATACGCGCATTCACATTTTCTCAAGTGATGCTGAAATAAATAAATCAAATTTCTCCACTCCTGTTCCAGAGACAAAATTAACATTTGTTGTATAATTTCACTGCAAGAAATGCATAAGTCAGAGTGCAGTCTGGTCTTCTCTCACCTTTCATGAGTGGGGAAGGTTCCAGCACAGTCAGGAGGGAGCTCTGGAACACCATACTGACAGTCCGCATCACAAACACCCGCCTCATCAGAGAGCCAATACTGTGGAGACACACAAGACGGACAACCAGTCATTTGACACACACACAGGCAAAGAATAGTATGTAGTATGTGTATGCTAACAAAAACAAACACCATATTTCCCTCTACAGTAGCAAACACACCCACACTCCAGGGTTTCTGTTAGGAAAATGTGGCACCGGACATTTGACTGGCAGCATTTTAATTTACCGGACATTTGAGAAATGTACCGGACCCATACGCCATTGGTTGCGTAACCTGATCAGGGCGTCCACCCACGGTGCTCAGAATGACAGAAATCACATTTAGATTATAGTAATTCATCTTAACAAATCATGAACCTCGAGGATGAAACGGTGTGGGTCCTTCTTACCAAATTCCGATGTGCATTTAAAGATGTTAGAATAACTGCCACATGTACTTTTCCTCAGCCAACAAGACGAGTAATGAACAGCCAAACCACTAGCCTATGTCAATCTACTATCCCCAATTTGTTTGTTGTTTTGGCACTGTACTTCAGCACTTTGAATTTGAAATGATATAATGAGTGAAATGATATAATGACTATGAAGTTAAAGTGCAGACAGCTTTAATTTGAGTGTATTTTCATCCATATCGGGTGAACTGTTTAGAAATGAATGGTAAATAATGTAATAATTGCGTGCTAGGAATATGGGACTACTTTAATACACATAAGTGAATTTGTCCCAATACTTTTTTGTCCCTTAAAATGGGGGGACCATGTACAAAAAGTGCTGTAATTTCTAAACGGTTCACCCGATATGGATGAAAATACCCTGAAATTAAAGCTGACAGTCTGCACTTTAACCTCATTCATTGTATTATTTCAAATCCAAAGTGCTCGATTACAGAGCCAATAATTTCTTTTTTTGCCACTGTCCCGATACTTTTGCAGCTCACTGTAAATAATTGCCTCCACATTTGGTCTCATTTTGGCTAGGGTACTTTAAGGCAAGGTAAACATGCCTCATAATATGTAGTAAAATGTTCAGATTTCAAACTATTTAGTATATGTTTTCCAAATGCATACTGCCTCCAGCTCATTGCAAAGTGGTGTGTGATGCGCTGAAGCCTACCTACCATTATATGCACTTAAATGGCGAATGGGAAGTGCGCTTCAAATACCAGTTGAGAAATAAAAATAGTAGCTATTTTTTATCGTGCTCAAAACTGTTTTTAACATGCGATTTCATTTAGAATTGTTGCACAATGATTGGGCTTATAAAAGCAAGGTTCACTCCAGCAGCCCCAGGAGCTGTAGCAGCAACTCTCGTGCTGTCAAAGATTTTCAGCTTAAACTAGGCTCTGTACCTGTATGCTGTGCGCGTGTGATAAATAAGAGTCATAACGACTAACGAAAATACACACGTGCCAATTTAATTCCACTAAATTATGCAAATGAACCCATAGACCGATAAGCATGACCGGTCAAATGTACTTACATCGACTGGTATTTTCATAAATTAAAAGGCTAAAAGGCATTATTTTGCAATGGGATTTTTTTCTTCTCCCAGACAGTTGGCCGGTACAAATTTGATTTATCAGCATAAAAACATATATATTGGCCATAAGCCGGCTATTACCGGGTAACGGAAACCCTGACACACACACACACACACACACACACCCCTACACACCCATGCACACGTGACGTGTCCCCAGACACTAATCCTTGTTAGTCAGAGAGCCGGTAGGCATGGCTCATGGGGTAATCAATAACTTAAGGAGCTCCCCAGTGTGGTAAATTAATGACCATCAGTCGTCTCACCCCCTTAAAGCATTGTGTTGTGTGTGTGTATGTGTGCCTCCCAGGGATTACCACTGTGCCAATCAGTCCCCAAAGGATCCTGTCAATCAGACAAACCAGACGCGTGCCACTGTCTGATATCTGAAATCTATACCATCTGACATGGACATTACCACATGGACATTACCACAGCTTAGTTTGATTTAACTCTGACATGAGCAATATACCAACTATACTCAAATCTGATACCAAATAGTATCTGTCTCGTTTCTGTCCATTCTGTCAGTCTGTACGTCTACAGGATCTATAACACCTCTCTAATTTCTCCTTCTTTACCCTTTCCACCTGAAAACCAATCTGCTATCATTCATATGCTAAAGACATTCTTTCTCTCATTCTTTATTTACTCCCTTCACAATGACACTCTTTCAAATCTGGCTCTCTGGGGAGTTGCCGTAGTGATGGGGTGAGAGGAGAACCTGCCTCGCTACTGACACTTCACACGGGCCAGGCTCCGATACCATTTAGGCTCTTGGGTTGCCGATGGCGATCTGTGTGAGGGGGTCAGTCTCTGGCCACTCAGGCGTTTCTGATGGGGCCCGGGATAAACGTCCAAATTAGATTTGAGAGCATTGAGACGGCCTGGTGGATGGGCTTTGTTTAGTGTGTGTGCTTGCGTGCATGCGTGTTGGGAAGTGGGGGAGAGTGGCGGGAGGTCATTCTGTGGGAATCTGGACTGGGTGTACAGTGTCAGGTAAACGCACCTCTGTGTGTGAAAATGTGACAAGGTAGAACGAAAGAGTAGAAGTACCGCAAAAATATGACAGCGCTTTTGTGAAAGAGATTCCAAACAAAAGGTTTGCCTTTGGAGGCTTACATTGTATTTGGTTGTATTAGTTTATGGGTAGTGTGACAAACACCTGGGAGCATCAGAGACCATATGGAGATGTAATTCAAACAGGACAGACCACAGTCTTCTGCAGACGTTTTATACAAAGACAAGATACTGGTATTCTCTTCATATAGGGCCTATTTCAGCTCGATGCTAATGGTAGTATTATCATTAACCAATCTAGCTTTGTGAGTGCTAGTGATGGATAAGGTGATGTAAACTACATGACTAAAAGTATGTGGACACCTGCTCGTCGAACATCTCATTTCAAAATCATGGGCATTAATATGGAATTGGTCCCCCTTTGCTGCTATAACAGCCTCCACTCTTTCTGGGAAGGCTTTCCACTAGATGTTGGAACATTGCTGCGGGGACTTGCTTCCATTCAGCCACAAGATAATTAGTGAGGTCGGGCACTGATGTTGGGCGATTAGGCCTGGCTCGCAGTCTGCATTCTAATTCATCCCAAAGGTGTTCGATGGGGTTGAGGTCAGGGCTCTGTGCAGGCCAGTCAAGTTCTTCCACACAAATCTCGACAAACCATTTCTGTATCGACCTCGCTTTGTGCATGGGGGCATTGTGATGCTGAAACAGGAAAGGGCCTTCCCCAAACTGTTGCCACAAAGTTGGAAGCACAGAATCGTCTAGAATGTCATTGTATGCTGTAGCATTAAGATTTCCCTTCACTGGAACTAAGGGGCCTAGCACGAACCATGAAAAACTGCCCAAGACCATTATTCCTCCTCCACCAAACTTTACAGTTGGCATTATACATTGGGGGCAGGTAGCGTTCTCCTGGCATCCGCCAAACCCAGATTCGTCCGTCGGACTGCCAGATGGTGAAGCATGATTCATCACTCCAGAGAACGCTTTTCCACTGCCCCAGAGTCCAATGGCGGCAAGCTTTACACCACTCCAGCCAATGCTTGGCATTGCGCATGGTGATCTTAGGCTTGTGTGTGGCTGATCGGCCATGGAAACCCATTTCCTGAAGCTCCCGACGAACAGTTATTGTGCTGACGTTGCTTCCAGAGTCAGTTTGGACCTCGGTAGTGAGTGTTGCAACCGAGGACAGATTATTTTTACGCGCTACAACACTCAGCGGTCCCATTCTATGAGCTTGTGTGGCCTACCACTTCGCGGCTGAGCCGTTGTTGCTCCTAGACGTTTCCACTTCACAATAACAGCTTTTACAGTTGACCGGGGCAGCTCTAGCAGGGCAGAAATTTGATGAACTGACTTGTTGGAAAGGTGGCATCCTATGACGGTGCCACATTGAAAGTCACTGAGCTCTTCAGTAAGGCCATTCTACTGCCAATGTTTTGTCTATGGAGATTGCAAGACTGTGTGCTCAATTTTATACACCTGTCAGCAATGGGTGTGGCTGAAATAGACAAATCCACTAATTTGAAGGGGTGTCCACATACGTTTGTATATGTAGTGTACAGTGGGGAAAAAAAGTATTTAGTCAGCCACCAATTGTGCAAGTTCTCCCACTTAAAAAGATGAGAGAGGCCTGTAATTTTCATCATAGGTACACGTCAACTATGACAGACAAAATGATGTATTTATTTGCAAATTATGGTGGAAAATAAGTATTTGGTCACCTACAAACAAGCAAGATTTCTGGCTCTCACAGACCTGTAACTTCTTCTTTAAGAGGCTCCTCTGTCCTCCACTCGTTACCTGTATTAATGGCACCTGTTTGTATTTTCAGTATTATTTTCAGTATATTTACACTACTATCTTCCCCACTAAGTCATGGAGTCAGTCAGACCATTAAACCTTGAGTCCTTGAGTCCCCAATTTATCACCCTTAAGAGACCCAAGGTCAGCCTTCTGCTAGTAACCAAAATGAGTTATCAGTAAGAAAACTCCAAACAAACAGAAAAGTAAACAAATGAAGATCCAAATTGAACAGAGGAGTAAACTGAAGATGCAGCAGCAGCTTGACGGCCCTGCGGAAGCACAAGTCTTATTGAACATAATCCCAGGGGTGTGACAGGGTGCCCATACTCAGGGCCATAGCTACATATGAGGACACCAAGGTCTGGACCTCTGTAATCTTTCAGAATAAAAAAATACAGTGGGGAAAAAAAGTATTTAGTCAGCCACCAATTGTGCAAGTTCTCCCACTTAAAAAGATGAGAGAGGCCTGTAATTTTCATCATAGGTACACGTCAACTATGACAGACAAATTGAGAAAAAAAAATCCAAAAAATCACATTGTAGGATTTTTAATGAATTTATTTGCAAATTATGGTGGAAAATAAGTATTTGGTCACCTACAAACAAGCAAGATTTCTGGCTCTCACAGACCTGTAACTTCTTCTTTAAGAGGCTCCTCTGTCCTCCACTCGTTACCTGTATTAATGGCACCTGTTTGAACTTGTTATCAGTATAAAAGACACCTGTCCACAACCTCAAACAGTCACACTCCAAACTCCACTATGGCCAAGACCAAAGAGCTGTCAAAGGACACCAGAAACAAAATTGTAGACCTGCACCAGGCTGGGAAGACTGAATCTGCAATAGGTAAGCAGCTTGGTTTGAAGAAATCAACTGTGGGAGCAATTATTAGGAAATGGAAGACATACAAGACCACTGATAATCTCCCTCGATCTGGGGCTCCACGCAAGATCTCAAAGAGGTCAAAATGATCACAAGAACGGTGAGCAAAAATCCCAGAACCACACGGGGGGACCTAGTGAATGACCTGCAGAGAGCTGGGACCAAAGTAACAAAGCCTACCATCAGTAACACACTACGCCGCCAGGGACTCAAATCCTGCAGTGCCAGACGTGTTCCCCTGCTTAAGCCAGTACATGTCCAGGCCCGTCTGAAGTTTGCTAGAGTGCATTTGGATGATCCAGAAGAGGATTGGGAGAATGTCATATGGTCAGATGAAACCAAAATAGAACTTTTTGGTAAAAACTCAACTCGTCGTGTTTGGAGGACAAAGAATGCTGAGTTGCATCCAAAGAACACCATACCTACTGTGAAGCATGGGGGTGGAAACATCATGCTTTGGGGCTGTTTTTCTGCAAAGGGACCAGGACGACTGATCCGTGTAAAGGAAAGAATGAATGGGGCCATGTATCGTGAGATTTTGAGTGAAAACCTCCTTCCATCAGCAAGGGCATTGAAGATGAAACGTGGCTGGGTCTTTCAGCATGACAATGATCCCAAACACACCGCCCGGGCAACGAAGGAGTGGCTTCGTAAGAAGCATTTCAAGGTCCTGGAGTGGCCTAGCCAGTCTCCAGATCTCAACCCCATAGAAAATCTTTGGAGGGAGTTGAAAGTCCGTGTTGCCCAGCGACAGCCCCAAAACATCACTGCTCTAGAGGAGATCTGCATGGAGGAATGGGCCAAAATACCAGCAACAGTGTGTGAAAACCTTGTGAAGACTTACAGAAAACGTTTGACCTGTGTCATTGCCAACAAAGGGTATATAACAAAGTATTGAGAAACTTTTGTTATTGACCAAATACTTATTTTCCACCATAATTTGCAAATAAATTCATTCAAAATCCTACAATGTGATTTTCTGGATTTTTTTTCCTCATTTTGTCTGTCATAGTTGACGTGTACCTATGATGAAAATTACAGGCCTCTCTCATCTTTTTAAGTGGGAGAACTTGCACAATTGGTGGCTGACTAAATATTTTTTTTCCTCACTGTATGTTTCATGCTAACGCCATGTGTGGGAAAATACATACGCATTGTTGTTATTTATAGATTGCATTACATCACATCTACAGTGGGGAAAAGAAGTATTTAGTCAGCCACCAATTGTGCAAGTTCTCCCACTTAAAAAGATGAGAGAGGCCTGTAATTTTCATCATAGGTACACGTCAACTATGACAGACAAATTGAGGAAAAGAAATCCAGAAAATCACATTGTAGGATTTTTTATGAATTTATTTGCAAATTATGGTGGAAAATTAGTATTTGGTCACCTACAAACAAGCAAGATTTCTGGCTCTCACAGACCTGTAACTTCTTCTTTAAGAGGCTCCTCTGTCCTCCACTCGTTACCTGTATTAATGGCACCTGTTTGAACTTGTTATAAGTATAAAAGACACCTGTCCACAACCTCAAACAGTCACACTCCAAACTCCACTATCGCCAAGACCAAAGAGCTGTCAAAGGACACCAGAAACAAAATTGTAGACCTGCACCAGGCTGGGAAGACTGAATCTGCAATAGGTAAGCAGCTTGGTTCGAAGAAATCAACTGTGGGAGCAATTATTAGGAAATGGAAGACATACAAGACCACTGATAATCTCCCTTGATCTGGGGCTCCACGCAAGATCTCACCCCGTGGGGTCAAAATGATCACAAGAACGGTGAGCAAAAATCCCAGAACCACACGGGGGGACCTAGTGAATGACCTGCAGAGAGCTGGGACCAAAGTAACAAAGCCTACCATCAGTAACACACTACGCCGCCAGGGACTCAAATCCTGCAGTGTCCCCCTGCTTAAGCCAGTACATGTCCAGGCCTGTCTGAAGTTTGCTAGAGTGCATTTGGATGATCCAGAAGAGGATTGGGAGAATGTCATATGGTCAGATGAAACCAAAATATAACTTTTTGGTAAAAACTCAACTCGTCGTGTTTGGAGGACAAAGAATGCTGAGCTGCATCCAAAGAACACCATACCTACTGTGAAGCATGGGGGTGGAAACATCATGCTTTGGGGCTGTTTTTCTGCAAAGGGACCAGGACGACTGATCCGTGTAAAGGAAAGAATGAATGGGGCCATGTATCGTGAGATTTTGAGTGAAAACCTCCTTGCATCAGCAAGGGCATTTAAGATGAAACGTGGCTGGGTCTTTCAGCATGACAATGATCCCAAACACACCGCCCGGGCAACGAAGGAATGGCTTCGTAAGAAGCATTTCAAGGTCCTGGAGTGGCCTAGCCAATCTCCAGATCTCAACCCCATAGAAAATCTTTGGAGGGAGTTGAAAGTCCGTGTTGCCCAGCGACAGCCCCAAAACATCACTGCTCTAGAGGAGATCTGCATGGAGGAATGGGCCAAAATACCAGCAACAGTGTGTGAAAACCTTGTGAAGACTTACAGAAAACGTTTGACCTGTGTCATTGCCAACAAAGGGTATATAACAAAGTATTGAGAAACTTTTGTTATTGACCAAATACTTATTTTCCACCATAATTTGCAAATAAATTCATTAAAAATCCTACAATGTGATTTTCTGGATTTCTTTCCCTCATTTTGTCTGTCATAGTTGACGTGTACCTATGATGAAAATTACAGGCCTCTCTCATCTTTTTAAGTGGGAGAACTTGCACAATTGGTGGCTGACTAAATACTTTTTTTCCCCACTGTATTGTCTTATGCAATGGAGGTTGAGTTAGGGTAGTGTATGTGTTGTAATGGCAGTTGGTGAAAATGTAAGGTTAACTAGCAATTGAAAGGAGAACTTTAATCTCTAGAGCTGAGGCTGCCCTGCTTTTTTGTGCAGGTGCTGCCTTTCAAAACGTATGTTCTACTACGGCTTGCTAGGAACTTCAGATGATTGGTAGAAAATAAGATGATGCCAAGGAGAGTCTATAAGAATTTACACTAGGAGTGACATTTTCTATGACCAAATGGCCCTGCTGCAGATTATAATGACTTTTAGGCTAAAGTCTGTGCTCTGTGATCTCTCTCAAAAATAAGATAGTTTCAGTTCACTTCAGGTTAGGTCAATAGAAACGGTTGATTATTGGTGGATGCTTTGAATTATCAGCTGTAGAAGACAGAAGACCTAGTGTTGCTGTTGAGGCCTGTCTCCTTGCCTCACTGGAGGCTTCAAAGCATCTCCCCCTGCTGCTCTCCTACCACACACAGAGGGCTATAGACACACACACCCCAGTGTGGGGAGTGGAGGTGATGGGGTGATGTGATATCTGTGCAACAGAAAGGGACGCTAAAATGGGCACTATAGACTAAAAAACTAAAAACAAATAAACAGATGGTGAGTATTACAAATGAGTTACAAAACAAGTCATGGAAGCATGCGAGTTAGGTAAATGACTAAAATGTAAATGTAAAACTGAAATCAGAGTGTTGCCTATGGACGCTACCTGAACTGGGAGAGCAGGAATAAAGTGTTGCCTCTGAACGCTACCAGGAGAGTGTTGCCTCTGAACGCTACCAGGAGAGTGTTGCTTCTAAATGCTACCAGGAGAGTGTTGCCACTGAACGCTACCAGGAGAGTGTTGCCTCTGAATGCTACCAGGAGAGTGTTGCATCTGAACGCTACCAGGAGAGTGTTGCCTCTGAATGCTACCAGGAGAGTGTTGCATCTGAACGCTACCAGGAGAGTGTTGCTTCTGAATGCTACCAGGAGAGTGTTGCCTCTGAACGCTACCAGGAGAGTGTTGCTTCTTAACGCTACCAGGAGAGTGTTGCTTCTAAATGCTACCAGGAGAGTGTTGCCACTGAACGCTACCAGGAGAGTGTTGCCTCTGAACGCTACCAGGAGAGTGTTGCCTCTGAATGCTACCAGGAGAGTGTTGCATCTGAACGCTACCAGGAGAGTGTTGCTTCTGAATGCTACCAGGAGAGTGTTGCCTCTGAACGCTACCAGGAGAGTGTTGCTTCTTAACGCTATCAGGAGTGTTGCTTCTGAACGCTACCAGGAGAGTGTTGCCTTTGAACGCTACCAGGAGAGTGTTGCCTCTGAATGCTACCAGGAGAGTGTTGCATCTGAACGCTACCAGGAGAGTGTTGCTTCTGAATGCTACCAGGAGAGTGTTGCTTCTTAACGCTATCAGGAGTGTTGCTTCTGAATGCTACCAGGAGAGTGTTGCCTTTGAACGCTACCAGGAGAGTGCTGCTTCTGAATGCTACCTGAACTGGGAGAGCAGCACGCCACCAAGGGAGGAGCCACAGATGGAGAAGCCCATGGCGATCACTCCGTTCCAGAACCCCAGCTCCCGCGCTGTCATGTGATGGTCCAACAGGAAGAGAGGGAACATGGTCACCGCACCCTGCTCGCCTGTGGACAGAGAGAGAGACAGGACAAACCAGTTGGAGTTCAGGTTAGACAAGAGAGAAGGTTAGATGCTTAACACAAACGACAACTCTGTGACAGTGCACAAAGCAGTTACCTGCTTAATAGACTGGACAATGATATAGTGGTGCTGACGTCTTTTCTAAATCTAACAACACAACACACAATATTCCTAGATAGTGGCTATAATAGATGTCAAACAAAAAAAGAATATCCTCATATCCGTCATTTTTCAAAACGGCCTAATGCAAAACGTCCTCAGATAACGTAAGCCTCAATCATAGAGCTTTTGGTTGAAATAAAAGTTTGTCAGTCAGACAATAGTCTCTCTGTCGCTGTGTGGCGTCGAAGGCGGGATAAGTTCTGCCGAACGACGGTGTAAAATATTCAGCGCTGCCGCCATTATTAATGGAGAGTGACTTCACAAAGACAGGGAGACGGAGCGTTGAGTGACAGCTCAGAGACTGCTGTCAAAGAGACGACACACACACACACACACACACACACACACACACACACACACACACACACTTGGCCAGAAGAAAAACAAAAATAGAGAGAGAATATTTCACATGAAACGGAGAAGAAAATCAAAAAGAGTTCTCAGAGAAGATGCTGAAAACCTCCTGGCGCACGGGAACACTACGACAACGTACACGTAAACGTTCTGACAACGCTATGTGACAGCCAAGCTAAATGTATGGCAGGAGAATGACAGGGATAAACAGGTTGCTATGATGACATATTCATCACATTCAGCATCTATATTCTATATTCCAAGGCAGCGCTAACATCAACAGCTATCAGCTACTCTGCTACTCACTATTCCCCACCATCACCAGTTGAAACCTGGGGAACCTTTTATCATCCAACAGTGTAGGTAGTTTGAGCATTTGTCATTACGGCAAGACATTACTTAAATGGGCAATCTGCGATTGCTACATCAATTTTTTGACTTTTAAATGATCGATATACACCCGTTGATTCTTGAAGAATATATACTGAGTGTACAAAACATTAGGAACACCTTCCTAATATTGAGTTGCACCCCATTTTGCCTTCAGAACAGCCTCAATTCGTCAGGGCATGGACTCTACAAGCTGTCGAAAGCGCTTCACAGGGATGCTGGCCCATGTTGACTACAATGCTTCCCACAATTGTGTCAAGTTGGCTGGATGTCCTTTGGGTGGTGGACCATTCTTGATACACACGGGAGCGTGAAAAACCCAGCAGTGTTGCAGTTCTTGACACACTCAAACCAGTGTGCCTGGCACCTACTACCATACCCCGTTCAAATGCACTTAAATCTCTTGTTTTGCCCATTCACCCTCTGAATTGCATATACACAATCCATGTCTCAATTGTCTCAAGGCTTTAAAATCCTTCTTTAACCTGTCTCCTCCCCTTTCATCTACACTGATTGAAATGGATTTAAGTGACATCAATAAGGGATCATACATTTCACCTGGATTCACCTGGTCAGTCTGTCATGGAAAGAGCTACCTTGTGTTGCTAATGTTTTGTACTCTCAGTGTAATTCATAAATGCCTCATGAGCTTAGTTCAATTGTTTTACTCCATCAAAACCCCAAATATAAACTTGTTTTACTCCTTTGTTTGTAAACAGTGTAGGCCTTATTGTAAACAAACACTGCATCAAAATAGCCTCAAAATATGATATTAACTATAATTTTGATGTCATTCTTTTTTTTTTTTTTTTTTCATTTTAGTCATATAGCAGACGCTCTTATCCAGAGTGACTTACAGTTAGTGCATTCATCTTAAGATAGCTAGGTGGGACAACCACATATCACAGTCATAGTCAGTACATAAGGTAGCTATCAGCAAAGTCAGAGTTAGTAAGAGGGGGAAAAGTTAAGTGCGAGTGTTAGTTCAGAAAATGCAGATGTTTTCGGAAGATGGGCAGGGACTCTGCTGTCCTAGCTTTAGAGGGAAGCCGGTTCCACCATTGGGGTGCCAGGACAGAGAAGAGCTTGGACTGGGCTGAGCGGGAGCTGCCCTCCCGTAGGGGTGGGAGGGCCAAGAGACCAGAGGTGGCAGAACGGAGTGCTCGGGTTGGGGTGTAGGTCACTCATGGATTGTCATCCATAGCTCTGTTTTTGAATTTGAGAGTGGTTACATTCCTCCAACCCCATCCCTCAGCTATTTACCAAAACACTGGATAGGGTGACCGCTTTGTTGTTGTTTGAACAACAGATTGTCCTTTTAAAGCCTTTATAATGTCTAATAAACCGCAGGCTACTGTCGCACATGGAAACCATGTGTTTTATGTATTTGATACCAATCCACTCATTCTGCTCCAGCCATTACCACGAGCCCTGTCCTGCCCAATTAAGGTGCCACCAACCTCCTATGCTTGATTCTTTACCAGTGGTTATATGTCTCTACAGCATTCAGTGCTCCCACTGCTTCAAACTCATTAATTCTTTAAAAGGGGAGTGCAGACAAACACAACAAGGCTGATTATTCATTTCTATAAATATTCTCAAAGCAACAATTGTCCATTTCAGTGGGGATTTCATTAGGCATCCACAAAGAAGAAACTAGTAGAGAGGGGGGTATGGGAGAAAGATATAGAGACAGAGAGAAAGACAGAGAGAAAGGGGTAAGGGAGAAACATGAACAGACAGAGATAGAGGGGTAAGGGAGAATCATGAACAGACAGAGATAGAGGGGTAAGGGAGAGAGACAGTGAGAATGATTTATGGAGAGAGACAGAGACAGGGTTTGAGAAAGAAAAGGGACAAATACAGAGGAGGAGGGATGTGGAAAGAGAGGGAAAATGTGGAAGAGTGAGAGGGTGAGGAATTTGGTGCAGGGGGTGTGGGGGGGAGAGGAGGGCTGACAGGTTGCTGATGGGAAACGAGAAGTGTTTGTGTACAAGTGAGAAAGAAAGACAGAAAGAAAGAGTGAGTGAGAGAGGGAAGAGGAGGAGGGATCAGCATGAGAGGGTAGGTGGGGTGAAGGGTAAATTAGGACACAGAATGGTCGGGTCACAGAGTGGTCACATGAAGCTCAGACACTACAGGCCAGGATCAGAGGGGATCACAAGGACACTTAGGAGAAAACAAGACACAACACACCCTGGGGACACGACAAAGAGAGATGTCTAGTAAATCAGTAAGCTACAGGTCTACGTACACCTTCCATAGAAAGTAGAGACCCCACACACTCACATGACCAGCCCTATTGACACACTCACACATTAATAGCAATCCCTACAGGTGTGCACTTTGCAGGGTGTCACAGAGTTTGTTGAAGCCCTAAGGAACTAGGCCGAAGCACGGGAAAAAACACTATCTTGCTATTGGCAAAGGGTAAAGCAAGGCAACTTGAACCCCACCCACCCTACCCAGATGGGTCACTTTGATAAAATGCTTTTATGTTACCAACTACGTTTTACTCCCATTACCACATTAACTATAACTGTCCTCTCTAACCTGTCTACATAAATCTGTAGAAATCTGCTGCACTACAGAGCTCCATAGCACCAGGAGAACCCACACCACCCCATCAATCAGGGATCCTGTTGGGCTGGGGGCGATATGGCCAAAATAACATATCACAACATTTTTCTCTTTTTTTTTAATGGTTTGGCAGTATTTGACGGTATTATATATTTCTGAATACTACAAGTTCTAAATATGTTTTATGAGTAATGCATAACTCTAGGATGGCAACATATTCATTCTAATTGGTTTAATGGGCTTTCTCCTTTCTGATAGTTTTGTCCAAGTTTGGTTGAGTATAAAACAGACTTTTCATTTATTTAGCACTGTATCAACATATCGTTATAGACGGTATTATAAAAAATCCATATCGGTATACCTTCAAATATGACATATCACCCAGCCTTAACTTCATGTCACCAGTGATTTATATCTATGCACCATCCCAATACTGTCCTCTCTCTTTAGGCCTCTTTGCCTTTATCCATCGCTGTCTCTGTCTCGCTCTGGGCACCATGTGGTGGTTCTTCATTAATTCATCCCCCCTTCAGCCTCCCTGCCGTCCTCCTTTTTCCCTCTGGAAAATTAACCCACATCCCCCCACACCGCTCTCTCCCTCCACTTCCCAAGCCCCCCCCCCCTCTCTCACCCATGCTCGCCATCATCTCTCCCGTGTCTCACTGTCTATCCTCCCAGTACGGCTGTGCATGGTGGGGGGGGGGGGGGGGGGAGACCAGTTTCCCACAGCAGGAAAATAATCCTGCAACAACAGGACATTTGAATTATTGTGTGGATTATAATTAATGAACATTTTTGTAGGGGTTGATACATTTTTCATTAGGGAAAATCAAGTCTGACATTTAATGTGGAAATTACCAACTTTAGAAGCCTTTTGAAACCTTGAATACAATACAAGTTTGGAAATTATCTGCAACAACAGTGTGATCAAATTAAGATCCTACATCTGTAGATGTTGGTCCTAAATGAACCACTGACCAATACAGTCAGTTTTTCTCTGTTTGACTAGTGGTTAAGGTTATTATTGTAGGGTAGGTTAATTTGATCCTAGATCAGTGGGTACTAAACCCAATAAGAGCAATCCTATCACTTTCCCATCTACCAATACCAGCCTATCCCCCCATCAGTGTTCCCTGGACTACAATACACAGGTTCATTCTCCTTCTATCCCTTTTGCCCCCGTCTCTCTCTCTGGGATTCTGCCCAGACAGCAAGTCCCATGGCCGTGACATCAGATGCCACAGGGGTCATCCAAACGGCTCCCTCTCATTGGTTGTGCAGTTCTACACAGAGCAAACTCACTGTGTTCATTAAGAGTGTGTGGGAGAGAGGGGTCTGAGATGAGAGGAGTGTGTTTGTGTGTTGGGGGGGGGGGGGGGGGTTAAGGCAGACCTTTCACTCCAAAATCTCACACACAAACACACACCCTTGCACATACATAATACAGTCTCATATTCACACGGATTGTTGAGTTTCACCCAACAGTTGCACACAAACACAAACAGTCTGACCTTTTTATTCTGAATTAAAGAGCGGACAACTAAGCTGGTTATTTGTAAATGCTGATTATATTAGATATGATTATTATGTTAATATTGATAACATCATGAGGATGAGGATGTTAACGATAATGGCGATGATGACAATGAATTCTATGGAGATGGTGACAGTGATGATGATGATGCTGGTGAACCCCTCAAACGGATTGGGGGGGGCAGCCAGTCTTACTGTCCTGTCTAGTGTCTGCCTGGGATCATCCAATTACTGTGCCACCCCTAACACACTCTCTCTCAAACACATACAGGAAAAACAATGGCACACACATTCACAAACAAGCACATGTATGCAAATGTATATAGAACATGTTTTCCCACCACCCAAACAAACACACACACCAGTCTGATGCTGCGTCTTCCATTTCAGTTTCCATGAAAAAAACACCACAGACACAAAGACACTAATCCTTACATAATCCCCTTCTGCAGCCAAACACCAAACTCTGTCCATATCAACTCTCGCTCGCTCACACACACACACACACACACACACACACGCTGCTTAACACCAAACTGTGTTTATCATAAAACCTTTTCTCTAACATCTCACTAGACCTAATATGTACCTGTTGCTTTGTACATAAATGCTATTCACAGAGTTCAAAATGTCATATTTTCCAACAACGGAACTTTAAGTAGGCTAGGTTCTTGACTCACTACCAAGTCCCTGATAATAACCCACTCATTCCATAAAAACAGACTAGATGATCAGTCGAGATCAGGGTCAACACTAGTTACCACAGCCACAAAGTCATAAACCCCGCCTATTTCTACAATTTATCTTCTTAAAATGTGATTTTAAACCTAGTCCTAACTTTAACCACACTGCTAACCTTATGCCTAACCTTAAATTAAGTTCATACATTTTTACGATATAGCCCATTTTTTACTTTGTAGCTCTGGTAAGAACAGTGGTAAGAAATAAGACCACAGCTGAATGGAGAAAAGACGATTCTGTCTTGCTTACTTCATTTTTACATTTTAGTCATTTAGCAGACGGTATAATTCAGAGCGACTTACAGGAGCAATTAGGGTTAAGTACCTTGCACAAGGGAACAGACAGATTTTTTTTTCACCTAGTCAGCTCAGGGACTCAAACCAGCAACCTTTCGGTTACTGGCCCAACGCTCTTAACCACTCGGCTACCTGCCACCCACTTCAGAAATGAGGCTACAGGTCATCAGGCTTGTATTCAATAGGCACCAAATGGATGAAAACTGACTGAAACAGGGCGGGACTATGAGGACTTGTCCAATAAGAAACGCTTGTTTTCGTTTTCTGTTGCAAAATGTTTTGCTACGTTGTGCATTAATGAGTATAACCCAAGGAGGTTTTCTCATAGGAGTCAAACAGACACTACCACATTGATGAGCTTTGCCTGTATTGAAAACTCTTCTGTCACTTAAACTCGATGATCCAAACCCCACTTACATAGAGAATGAGTAGAGAACTCGTTAAAGGCCATTTTAATGAAAAACTATGTGTTCAAATGCTGGGAATGTACTGACGCAACTCAGGACAACTTTGGACAGTCTATACGGTAAAGATTTTCAAAGTGGAGATAGTCTTATGAAGTGGTGGAGGGGTTTTCTACATAGATATAATATATCAATATGGATGTATCTCTGTGCTTTCCAACACAGGCACAGCACATTGATGGAGTAGTCACCTAGACCTGTAGGACTACTATTAGAAGAAAACATGTTTTGTCTAAGTAATTTATGTACTAGTAGGTTTCTTATGTAGTAGCCTTGTAGTGGATCAGGTTTAGTGTACAGTAGGTGAGAGTGGAGGTTAGTGTTAGGACTTTTAGCTACTTCTCCAGTTGGTACAGTAGGTGAGTGTGCATGGTTGTCAGACTGACTAGCAGACTTACCCAGTTTGTATGTGAGAACGTAGATCATGGTCCAGGGCGTCCCAGGTACTGACAGCAGCTTCCGCCACACCCTCCAAGGATGCAAAGCGTCCGACTGGACCCCCTTCCTCCCCTCTGCCTGGCCCCTCAACAGCTCATTGTCCAGCACGGGGGCCCCCCACACAAACAGTGCCACCCCGAAGTACACAAAGGCCAACAGCATGAACATAGGGCCCCACCCTGCCACGTCAATCACAGCAAGGAGCCCGCCCCCGGCGAACACCGAGCCGGCCTTGTAGCCCACTACCTGAGCCATGTTGCCCAGGCCCAGCTCACTGCGGCCCTTCAGCAGGCCCACGGCGGCCCCGTCCACTGTGATGTCCTGAACCGACGCCAGGGCGTTCATGGCCAGCAGAGTCCCCGCCACACCCCAGAAGTGGGCCTCTGGGGCCAGAGCGGCACTGGAGAGACAGGTAAGCGCCAGGCCAGAGACCGTGGCCACCAGCCAGCGCCGCTTGGTGCCCACACGGTCCACCAGGGGTGCCCAGAGAACCTTGAGCACCCAGGGAAAGTAGAGGATTTTGGTCAAGCCGATGTGGGTGAGGGAGTGGCCCGCCCCACGGAGGTAGACTGGGAGCAACAAGGACTGCAACCCATAGGGGATTCCCTGCACAAAGTACAGGAGGCCCAGGAAAACCAGCTTGTCATTCATGATTCAATAGGAGACTGACAATTCGTCAGGTCATGACGATGGTCCGCCAGGAGCTGATCAAATGGGTCGATCAGCCTAGGAGAGATGGGGAAGAGAGAGAGGGGATCATTTCACTGACGGAAAACATGAGCAAATTAGTGCCGGAGTCTGGTCTCGTGTTAGTCCTGCAGAGTCCAGACCACACATGCAAGCTGGTGACGGGGTTCCAAATTCCACCGTGGTCCCTCTGTATCTGTCACCTTGTCTACCTTCCGACTGCCACTGTACATAAAACAATAAATATTAAAACATACAGTACCAGTCAAAAGTTTGGACACACCTACTCATTCAAGGGTTTTTCTTTATTTTTACTATTTTCTACATTGTAGAATAATAGTGAAGACATCAAAACTACGAAATAACACATATGGAATCATGTAGTAACCAAACAAGTGTTAAACAAATCAAAATATATTTTATATTTGAGATTCTTCAAAGTAGCCACCCTTTGCCTTGATGACAGCTTTGCACACTCTTGGCATTATCTCAACCAGCTTCATGAGGTAGTCAACTGGAATGCATTTCAGTGAACAGGTGTGCTTTGTTAAAAGTTAATTTGTGGAATTTCTTTCCTTATTAATGCGTTTGAGCCAATCAGTTGTGTTGTGAATAGGTAGGGGGGTATACAGAAGATAGCCCTATTTGGTAAAAGACCAAGTCCATATTATGGCAAGAACAGCTCAAATAAGCAAAGAGAAACGACAGTTCATCATTACTTTAAGACATGCAGGTCAGTCAATACGGAACATTTCAAGAACGTTTAAAGTTTCTTCAAGTGCAGTCGCAAAAACAATCAAGCGCTATAATGAAACTGGCTCTCATGAGGACCGCCACTGGAAAGGAAGACCCAGAGTTACCTCTGCTGCAAAGGATAAGTACATTGGAGTTAACGGCACCTCAGATTGCAGCCCAAATAAATGCTTCACAGAGTTCAAGTAACAGCTACATCTCAACATCAACTGTTCAGAGGAGACTGTGAATCAGGCCTTCATGGTCGAATTGCTGCAAAAAAACCACTACTAAAGGACACTAATAAGAAGAAGAGACTTGCTTGGGCCAAGAAACACGAGCAATGGACATTAGACCGGTGGAAATCTGTCCTTTGGTCTGATGAGTCCAAATTTGAGATTTTTGGTTACAACCGCCGTGTCTTTGTGAGACGCAGAGTAGGTGAACGGATGATCTCCGCATGTGTAGTTCCCACGGTGAAGCATGGAGGAAGAGGTGTTATGGTGCTTTGCTGGTGACACTGTCAGTGATTTATTCAGAATTCAAGGCACACTTAACCAGCATGGCTACCACAGCATTCTGCAGCGATACGCCATCCCATCTGGTTTGCGCTTAGTGGGACTATCATTTGTTTTTCAACAGGACAATGACCCAACACACCTCCAGGCTGTGTAAGGGCTATTTGACCAAGAAGGAGAGTGATGGAGTGCTGCATCAGATGACCTGGCCTCCACAATCACCCAACCTCAACCCAATTGAGATGGTTTGGGATGAGTTGGACCGCAGAGTGAAGGAAAAGCAGCCAACAAGTGCTCAGTCCTTCAAGACTGTTGGAAAAGCATTCCAGGTGAAGCTGGTTGAGAGAATGCCAAGAGTGTGCAAAGCTGTCATCAAGGCAAAGGGTGGCTACTTTGAAGAATCTCAAATATAAAATATATTTTGATTTGTTTCAAAGAAAAATGGTTACTACATGATTCCATATGTGTTATTTTATAGTTTTGATTTCTTCACTATTATTCTACAATGTAGAAAATAGTAAAAAATAAAGAATGAGTAGGTGTGTCCAAACTTTTGACTGGTACTGTACATAAATATTAAATAATGAGCAAATGGAATAGTCCTCAATATAAATAGTTTGGGGTTTTAGTATATGTATTAAATGAAGGACACTCAGTGGTAGAAGCACATTATACACTGAACAAAAATATAAATGCAACATGTAAAGTGTTGGTCCCATGTTCCATGAGCTGAAATAAAAGGCCACTCTAAAATGTGCAGTTTTGTCACACAACACAATGCCACAGATGTCTCAAGTTTTGAGGGAATGTGCAATTGGCATGCTGATTGCAGGAATGTCCACCAGAGCTGTTGCCAGAGAATTTAATGTTCATTTCTCTACCATAAGCCGCCTCCAACGTCGTTTTAGAGAATTTGGTAGTACATCCAACCGGCCTCACAACCGCAGACCACGTGTAACCACACCTGCCCAGGAGCTCCACATCTGGCTTCTTCCCTTGCGGGATCGTCTGAGACCAGCCACCCGGACAGCTGATGAAACTGAGGAGTATTTATGTCTGTAATAAAGCCCTTTTGTGGGGAAAAACTCATTCTGATTGGCTGGGCCTGGCTCCCCAGTGGGCAGGCCTGGCTCCCAGGCCCACCCATGGCTGCACCCCTGCCCAGTCATGTAAAATCCATAGATTAGGGCCTAATGAATTTATTTCAATTGACTTATTTCCTTATATGAACTGTAACTCAGTAAAATCGTTCAAATTGTTGCATGTTGCGTTTATATTTTTGTTCAGTATAGATTCTTGCATACTGATGCATCAGACAGCTGTCATGCTTTATTCACAAGCAAGAATGTTCATTTTCCTTTTAATTAAATGTATAACATATGTGATAGTGTAGATATCATTTTACGCCCCAAACTTGACCTTTAGATAGTAGCAGGCTAAACTGATAATACTGTATCGGTAACTTGGCTAGTTATAGCACTAGCAAAAAACAATAAACATGCATGGTCAAATAGCTAGTACTCAAGCTAACGCTGTCATACTACCAATTCAGAACAAGTATCAGCGCTTGCCAATAGCTAGCAAATTCGGTGGTGAATTTGTATAAATATTATATCATAAAACATTAATCTGAGTGCAATCAGTTTTGATAGTTGTGTTGTTTGCTAGCTATCTACATACTGGAAAGGGAAAACCTGTTATCGGCGCTTCGTCAGCAACACTAAAATTGTACTTCCGGGTCACGGAATATCGGAACTTTTCACAATAAAAGTCCCCCAAGTAATAGTAGAAACGTGTCAATAAACTGTAGTTATTCATGATATATGAAAAAATACTTGTCTAAACATTAACAATGATTCATATTTGTTCATATTTAAGTGACATTTGCATTAAATGTGGGTTTTAAAACATGTTCCAAGGTCAAATGAATGCCACAGTAAAAGTATTGTAGGGAATACTCAGTAAAGTCTGTAGAATATATATATGGTGTTATGTCATGGTGGACTGAGATCTATATGCCCAGCAACACTTTTTACACCACCCACTCCATTGGTCTCAATACACTATAGGTCAATAAATTACATATTTGCTTAAATAGAGAAAACTATTCTAGGTGTCGAAGTAAAATGTATGTATGCCGATGTATGTGCTGTGCCTTATCCCTGATTCTCTGCTGGTGCACCTATATTTAGTATGGTCTCAATTAAAATGATCCATAGCCTATAATTAAGCAATAAGGCCCGAGGGGGTGTGGTATATGGCCAATATACCACGGCTAAGGGCTGTTCTTAGGCACGACGTAACATGGAGTGCCTGGATACAGCTCTTAGCCGTGGTATATTGGCAATATACTACAAACCAAGAGGTGCCTTATTGCTATTATAATCTGGTTACCAACGTAATTAGAGCTGTAAAAATAACTATTTTGTCATACGGTATGACACACCACAGCATTCAGACAATCAGCATTCAGGGCTCGAACAACCCCGTTTTGAATGGGCTACAGGCCTAGGCTATACGAAGAGCATGCTCAGACAAGCACAGGGCAAAGTTTTCTATATATTTTTAATTACTTCATTGCTGAGTTTTTGTGCTGCTGGGATGGTGTAAATAAAACTAGGTTACAATGCATTACACACTGCAATGGATATCCCAATCATGAGCCCTGGCCTGCCCTGCTCTTGCTGATGCAAACCTTTTTGTGCTGGCTAACTAATGGTTGTGCTGTGTACAGTCACACTTCAGGAGGTGAGTCAAAGGCTTTTTTTGAAAATCATTTTTGATTTGTCCAGAAAATGCAATTTATCTGTGGAGGGACTGATAAAGGGTGGACTGATAGTGACGCTGTTGTCTGTGGTGATAGAGTTAACTGTGGAGTTGACCGTACTTATAAATGCATAGAGCAGAGTAATTTCACACAACATATTATGAACTAAAATAATGCTGTTGAACCATCAAATCTAAAACATAAATTGTATGGGAGTGGCAGGGATGTTGGGGAAGATCCGAAAGTTAAGAATCACATAACATTTTTTTGGGAAAATACATTTTTGGATTACCATGCTATTTCAATGGTAATATATTCAGTTTTTTTTTTTTTTTTTTTTTTTTGGGGGGGGGGGGGAATGGATCAGCTTAATATTGCAGATAGACTGTATCTTCTATCAATGTAATTGTCTGCATCACTTCCAATCCCCCATGTTTTTTTAGTTTTTTTTTTATATATATATATACTCCCTTTTACTTGGAGTAAATTAGTGAACAACAATGCCCAGGCCTCTACTTCCGGTCTATACTTACTATCTACACCTTATGGACAGAGTTAATTTTACAATAATTCTATTATATATATATATATATATATATATATATATATATTTTGTTTTTTTATTGCTCCTGAACTTCTTCTACTCTTAACCTCTCCGATCATTTTCATGATGTCCATCCGGTTTGCTTCTATATGCCATATCTTTCTAACTGTGCTCTTTCCCAAAAGCTCCCAACATACAACCTATATACTTATTATGGACACAGTATGCTTACATTATTAGCTATCTTTGTTATTATTTGTTGTTATTTGTTATTAGTCCCATCCTTCAACTCTATTCAATACCTTCCATCTATCTCTTAACACCATCCATATAGGATTTCTATTTGCCATATATATTTCAACCGTACTGTGATGTTTTACAAAAGTTCTGAACCTTTCTATTCTCATTGCTTCTACAGATTGTGAATTAAAAATAAACATTTTTGCTAAAAGTATTATTATATTATTGATTGATTGACTATGACTTT